CTGCGGCCCCGGAGAACCCCTGCCCCGGAGGGGATGGCTGGAGCAGCGCGGAGATTTATGGCCAGCCCCCCGCAGCCAGGAAGCATCAGGCAGCCCTTAGTCCCCAGGGACCGGGGGGATTTCAAGCAGCTGCTGCCAACAATTAATGCCTGGGGCAGGGCCCGGTGAGGAGAGGAGCAGCAGGGCCACAGATTCAGTGCCTCGGGGCAGTGTTTCTGCAGAGAGAAGCTGCCGCCATGTCCTGGGACAGGAGTCCCCAGGCAGCAAAGGCCAGACCCCACCGGGAGCTGCCCGAAAGCCGTCCCTTCGCATGGGACTGCAATGTGGGCTGCCACGTCAGGAGAGTGAGGGACTGCCATCCCCTCCCCTTACCTGTTTCTCGGTCATGGCGTAGATGTGCTGGCGGTCGGGGCTCAGCACCAGGTCTCGCAGGATGGAGCTGCCCTCATGGGCCACAACGTTCTCATACTGCAGCGCTTGGTGCTTCCTCTCGGCCGTCAAGTCCACCAGGATCTGTGGGGAGAGCAAGGGGAGGTGAGCACGGTCTCACAAACACCCCAGGAGTAGGATGGGGAACACACCCCATCATGGGGATACCACCCCCTCCATCCACACCAGCGTGACCACACCATGGCCACCACAGCACGGCAAAGCAGCAGCCGCTCTGCAAACATCCCAACCCTTTCCAGAAGGCCAAACTGCAATGTTTTGTTCCTTTTTTTAGCATTTGTCCCATGTTTACGCTTATGGCATTCACCCCTCTCTAGGAAGGGAAGCCACATCCTCGGTTCTCACACTGCACCCCGCTCTATGCTGCCCTGCTTCCCCCGCTGCCACTCAGCCCCAAAGCCCCTCCAACTTGCAGCACGGCACAAACGAGCCCCCAGCTTGCAGCAAACCCCATCTTGCCGCAGCAGTACCAAAAGCGGCTCGCACACCGCACCGAGCTCCGGCCGGGCAGGACGCTGCGGCACACGCAGGCAGGGCTCCCGTCTCCCCATCCATCAAAGGAAACACTTGGGCTCGTGACCGGGGAAGTCAAGAGGGTCTCAAGGAAGCTGAGGGTCAACAGAGGTTCAGAAAGCACCTTTGTTCCCTAAGCAGGAACGTGGCGAAGGCTTTAATCCCCTTATGGCTCACAATCACGTTAAAGCTCTTCCTAAGCAGACCAGTTTCTGGCTGTGCCGGCGATAACCACATCACGAGGCACCGCAGGGCTGGAGGCACCCACCGAGCAGGAGCTGAACTCGGCTGCGCTACTTGCCGTAACCCGATTGCCACCTCCACAAGCAAGAGACGCTTCCTGCTAACGCCATCCCTCACGATCCCCCCCCAGATTCGGGCTGTCCGGTGCCAGGGACGTGGCTCAGTGGGTCTGGTCTGGGTCCCGCTGGGACCAAGCTCCAGCCCAGTCTGCCCCATAGCCCCAGCTGCACCAGTGGCACGCTCTGCAAAAAAACCCAGCAGCAGGCGGAGAAGCAGAGCGCCCAGCAACACGGAGCAAACACTGCCCACCATCAGCCAGCACACACAGGGAGCCAGCCCGGCACCCCCAGCCGCAGGACTCGGGATCCCCCCACAGCACGGGGGCAAACCCGCTGCCTTGAAGCAACCCCCCGTCCCCCTCCTGCAATAAATCGCTGTCGGCATTTGCATAGTTCCCAATCAGGGGGCTACGGGCCGGGAAAGCAGGATCCCGGTGTGCAGTTGATTAGCATGGAAATGTATGCGGCTCACAAACAAACCGGGGCCCGTTTAATTAGAGCGGCGCCTTTGATTCACCGCCAGCCTCCTGCACGCACCAGCACCGGATTATTTTTAGGCAGTTTTACAAAACAAATGTATTTAATTAAGAAAGAGACCCCCGAGCAACCAGAGAGCGGCGAGTCCTGCATGGCAGTGAGCAAAGGGGCCGCCCTCTCCCCAGGGGACACGGGGACTGCACTTGCAGGGCCAGATGTAACTCTTGGACGCCCACGGCACAGCCAGAACCCCCCGTACGAACTGCTGCAGCACTGCAGAGCCTTCGCCATAACCCAAGCTGGTTCCGGTACTTACCTGCTTCTCAGCATCCTTTGCCAGACCCATGCACAGACTCTGCTCCCCATCACCCCACCCTGGGTACCACTGTGCACTGCGGAACCCAGAGATGCCAAAAGCCCGTCCTAAACCCTCTGCCTGCCCTTTCGCAGGCTCTTTCTGCCCAGGACCACGTTTGCTCCTACTCCAAACGTCAGAGGAGGTCAAGCCCCAGACATCTGTGGTACAGGGCCACGTGGCACCCCCAGCCCTGCGGTACCCCTTGCCTAGCGGTACCCAGCATCAGCCCCAGAGCCCAACCCTGCCTCCCCGCATCTCCTCACAGGTTGCTCCCCTCCTGGCTCTCAGCTTCTCCCCTACAAAGTCCCATCCAAGCCATCTCTCTGGAGGAGGGTAACGGGGAGCATCCCCCCTACCCAGCAAGGCACTGTCTCCCCCCCACGCGATGGCAACGTGACAAACGCACCTTTCCAACCCTTTTATGGGCCACAGTTGCGGCACAGAAGAATCGATATAGTTTTACCCTGGTTCTAAAATAGATCTATGGCTGGATGTCGCGCTGGCAGTAATTTTTAACTAGCGGGGTAATTTCCCCATTACATTATTGCACTGCGCAGTGCTGGGAAAGAGAAAGAGATGTATTAAAAAAAAAAACAACAGACGTGAAGCACTTCCAGTTAATTTGAGGCTTCAAGAAGAACCTAAAAATACTCTCAGCAGCCAAACGGGGCTGGAGCCCAGTCTGCCACATGTCAGGGTGCTCTGGTGGGGGGCACGGGGCCACCCCAGGCATGCACACGCGGGAACCCTTCTCTCTGGTACCTCCACTCCCTTTACGGATGCTCTATAGGCAGGTTTGGGATTTAGGAAAATGAAATTTGGAAGACCTGACAAACAAGTTATTTTCTGGATCGCCAAAAGGCAGGGAACAGAGAGAGTTTTTGAGTTAGCTCATGGCAGGCAAACCCATTTTGCCACTCATCCCCAGCAGACAGACCCTAACGTCATTCCGCACCAGGAGGACCCGACTGCCCACAGAGCCCACTGCTGCGCGGGCAGAGCTGGGAACCTGGCATCAGGGCCTTTCCAGCAGGATTAGCCCGACAGGAACCCACTCATCCCAGCTGGTGGGAAGGGGACAGGTCGTTTGGAGCAGTGCACAGGACGCACAAGGTGCCTCCCATCTCTTACAGACGCTGGGAGGGACCGACCGCTTCCCCCCCTTCTCCCCACCCCCGCGGGGTAGCCAGGGGCAGGCGAAGGGGGAGAGGATGCGGTTTAATCAGAGCAGCCCCCTCGGAAACACGCGCCTTCCTGCCCACCCTGCCTGCCTTCCCACCCAGGGGAAAAGACATTTAC